CGTGGCCTGGCACCTGATGTCCACAGTCGGACTTCTCACTGTATGCACAGTACAATCAATCTCCACTCACTTCCCCTCCATACTCGTCGGGTCATAGGTTCTCGCTTCGTCGGTTCGTCGGTTCGTTGCCAGCCAGTGTCAGTTACTTATTGCTCATTCTTATTATTCTGGCCATCTGATCTTCAGTATCAGTGTCAGTGTGAGTATCGAATGAGCGTAGGTGGCATCTGTTGATGAATGTCTGTAGTTTGATGGAGATGGTTTTCGTGACACGTCAAGTTTGTTAACCATGTAGGAAGGAGGACTGACTTACTTGAGTGAATTGTTGTTGAAAATCGGGATGTTGTTCACACTTTATGCTGAGTGGAGTGGAGTGGAGTGGAGTGGAGTGGAGTGGAGTGGAGTGTAGTAGATCTCCACACTGATTATTTCAGATTAATGCAGGAAGGCCTATCTTGCTGTGTTTCCGATCGTGGCTATCTTCGACGTCCTCGCCTGTGTCTGTGCCGCCTGTAGATGAACCGATGCTGCCTTGTCTAGGAAGGTGAAGGAGACAACTTCGTTTAGGTTTCTCCTGTTGATGGTGATGGTGGTTGTGATTATTGCTTGTTGTTGGTGGGGTGGTGTTGTATGGGTATCATCATCAGCTTTGTCTTGTCTACGTTCACTTGAAATCCCGTGTTCGCTGCACTGCCTAGTCTCTTTTGTCAACTTGTTGGTTTTTGCCTGTAGATCTTCGAGTTTGTGTGGCGAGACATTGGACATAAATCGTCATCGGCGAAATCCAAATCTTCTAGGGATCATTAAGTATGTGTAACACATAAACCAGTCGCCTGATTCAATGAAAATTTGCAACCTCACCAACTGACGTTCATCTTCTACGCAAAACTTAACATCTCACTTCTACACTACTGATGTGGTGACACTGAGACACACAACTTATGCTACAAAGTTTATGGTCGAAAACTTGACGTCTTTTCATGTGTTCTACCTTCAGTGACCTAGTTTCATAGCCAAATATTAGAAGAGATGGAACACTTTGGATGGTGTAAATTGATGAAAGCTAACGGCGATTTCGCCGGTGACCCGACTGCTTTGGTAATTGAGTCAACCCCTTCACTGGCTACTGTTGGACAAGGAATCAGCGCAGGCAGTTCCTTGAGTGACAGTTAGTATTTGAGTGTTGAGAAAGGCTTATCAGTCATTTTCATATTGTTACTGAATTAGTAGGGTATTCTCTGTATAGTGAGACGACAAGACGGAGACCTTTATCGCACATTAGACTTATCACCAGTTAAAACCAGAGAAAGAATTATTATGATTGTTATTTGTCCCATGGGTTCCTAGTCGCCATTTCACTCTCTTCTCTGCAGTCTTTCAACCTCGCTACACCACTGACCACAAGCTTTCATTTCTTCCTCACACCATCTCCTCCACGTCATCCTCGCCACGCACACCCAACTTATTCCCCAACCCACCCCCCCCCCAACCCCCATCCCTCCCCCGCCTTTCGATCCCACTCCACGGCCTCGTCTGCTCTGGCCTGACACGTGATGTACACAAACACTCTTCTCACTGTATGTCCAATCCAATCCAATCCAATCCATCTCCACTTTCTTCCTCTGCATATTTGTTGGGCGATGGGTTGTTGGTTGGTTTGTTGCCAGCCACAGTTCTTCCTTGCTCATTCTCATTAATCTGGCCATCTGATCTTCAGTGTCAGTGTCAGTGTCAGTATCGAGTGAGTGTAAGCGTAAGCGGCAGCTGTTGATGTGTGTTGGAAATGCTTCACGTAAGGTGACAAGTCTCTCAACCATCACACAGAAGCAGTGACTTACTTGACTGACTGATTATGTTACCAAGACTAGTGTCACAACCTTTTCATATTCACTATATTTGACCTTTAATTTTCATATATAAATTGACTTGACAAGTAAATGTGTGATCAGATTGTTCGAAATGTATTGCGCAAATACATCACATTTTTCAGATAATCTTCGTCTTCTAATAGCGTTATCGAAACTGACATTAGTGTTGAAAATCCGGATGTTGTTCAGGCTGTAAGCTGAGTGCAGTGCAGTGCAGTGCAGTGGAGTGGAGTGCAGTAGATCTCCACACTCATTTCAGACTAATGAAGGCCTGTCTTTCTGTGTTCCGATCCTGGCTTTGATATGATCATCTGTGCCGCCAACGCCACCACCACCGCCACCTGTAGTTGACATGATATTGCTTTATCTAGGTAGGTACATGAAAGAGACAACTTTCTCCTTTCGATTTCTCCCATTGATGGTGATTGGTGCTTGTCGCTGTTGCTGGTTCCATGTCTTCATCATCTCTGTCTTCTCTACGTTCACCTGAAGGAAGTCCCGTCTTCCTTCGCTACCCTGCCACTTCTGCCAACTTGTTAGTTTTCGCCTGTAGACCTTCGACTTTGTGAGACATAAGACACTAGACACAAATCATCATCGGCGAAATGCAAACTTTCTTGTGGGGTCTTCTCATCGGTCAAGCCAGCATATCCCCTCTTCTCGCTCCTCATACTTGTCTGTTGCATGATGCAGTCCAGGCCAGTCGACCACAATCAGGAAGATGATCGACGATAGTAGGTGGCAACCTTGTCTTACTTCTGTCTTCACTTCGAAGGCATCACTGAGATTGCCATTGTGAATCACTTGGCATTTAGCTTCATCATATAGCATAGCATACAGTTGTTGAATGAGGTTGATAAAGGTTTGTGTCGCTAAAACCGTAGTTTTGAAGTAGTGGCCAAATTACTTGAGGAAGAATTACACTTTACACTCAGTTAATGAAACCTTTCTCTGATGAGTGGTGAAGTTGAGAAACAGGGCAACAAACATCCGACTACACATCCATTCTCGCTGCCTAAAGTGTATCTGTTTACAAACTAACTAACGAATAACAACGAACCTCATACTTTAGTCTTCAGTACGAACTGAAAATGTGTCAATGAGGCTATGTGCTGTAGCCCCGGGGCTAAATATCTCGATACAACAATAGAGCTATCATTCACCGCGAAATCAGTTTACTTTCAGCCGATTCAGGTATATGTACATGTACATGTATATGCTTCGCCTTACTTGTCCATATCAAACCAGTCAGTCAGTAACACCTCGTATACATGAAGCTTCCAGCAGTCTCCGAGTTACTCAATCCCAAAGTAGACTTTCCTGTTGGCAAAACCATCCAAGAGTTTCAGTAGGATAGACTGATGTCAGTGTGATTTTAGTTGAACATTAGCGGATCCTTGTGACCCAAATTTTCTCCTCACTTTTGAATAATCACTTCATGTTCCCACCTAGGCATTTTAACAAAACTAAATCAATAAATTACTAGTGATGGGGACTGGCTAACGGTGGAATCCAGGACGTATGTTTCGCCCTATTTTGGGTTCGTCAGCTGCATGTAACAGTTTCCCAGTGAGTGCAGTTGTTCCACCAGGACTCGAGCCAAGAGCCGACTGTCTCAAGAGCTGGAGTCTTATCCACTAGGACGCTGAGTCATAATAGCCACCGATCGATCCGGTCAGATCAATGATGGACATGAAAACGAGAAATCACCGAAATTGGTCTCTGATTGTGTATATTTACAAACGAGCTGAGAGTTAAAAATTTCAGTGTTTAGTTCACCGATGCAAACAGAAAACTCCAGATCTTGTGTTAGACTTGAAACGAAGCCTTAACTCTTCAAAAAGTGATCTACAGAAAGTAACCATGTGGGTTAATCAAAGTCCACTTAACCAGAAGGAAACCGTACTGTTACCAATCACTACGGTACTCTACCATTAGTGTATGCAGACTATAAATGACCCACGAACTGGTCATCAAATGGTAATCGAGACAACTATTACTTGGACGCCTTTTGATCAAGTGTGTATCTTATTGAAACCACACACTACCATGAATTGTATTAGCAGTTAGAACTTAACCGGAGTGATTTCTACTGACAGTAAGCAAAGCAACCATGATGAAACTGTTGTTCTTTTTAGAGATCAGATATTGTGTCACTCTGGATATGCCTACGATAGTGTGGCTGCTTCGTTAAGTTACTTTATATCCCAGACTATCCATTCCCAACAGGGCTTATTCAACATCATTGAAGATTCAGGACATAGTCGAACCTTCCGTGTACAGTTCGCATTTCATAGATTAATATTACTCCTGATGTAATCACTCTGAAGCGGATTTCACTCCACCGTTAGCAAAATCTTCACGATACATTGGAGTACTCAGTTACTCTTAAGGCGTAATCGTTTGCCTAGACACCTCCTTGAACATTGAATCGCAACCTCATCTACTGACTGAATTTTCTTGTTTAAAACTTGCGTACAATTTAACAGGAAACAGAACTAGCACTTACAATGTTATCTAGAGTTGAGTGGAGTATGCAACGTCCATTTCAGCTTTTTATGAGCATAAGTGCCTGATGTACCGCTGTCTAGGTGAGTACTTTAGTCCATATTCTCATCACTTCAAAGGGGATGATCCACTAGGCGGCTGCGTTACACTAACTAGCCATCATCTGGTAGAGATTACATGTTATCACAGTTACATTTACCACCCCAGTTTTCTTGTCAGATAGTTAGAGTTTATCTGAAGAAGGTCTACTCGATCTGGCGTCTCCGAATCCATGAGAAGACTGATGTTCCTTCGGTACTGTGTTGGATTGACTATTTCAGTTCCCCACCTGATAAGTGAAACTCACTTCAAACTTGAATATTGATCTAATATTTTTTTAAAATTATTAATACGGAATTCTAGGCTCTAATACTACAAGAAGAGAGTATCATGATGCCGTTTCAAGTGATGCAGTTTGGGTTCGAACCCCTGGTGGACAGACAAATCATCACTCAGATTTAAGTACATCCAACTTATGCATATAAAGTAGGATAAGCTGCGGTTCCAAAAACTTAACAATATAATCCATTAGTTAGTACTATTATTAAATTAATCATAAATGCCGAATATATGTAAATAACTCACTTGACAGTCGGATGAACAGGATTCCTGCGGAGGACTACACCGTGTATGACTTGAATCTGATCTGGATGTTTGCATTGACAATACTTATTTCTTCAATGTCCGACAGGAGATTAGTTAGCGAAAGTGAATTTTACTCCAAGTTTGTTCAATGTTCAATATCGTTTTAGTGCATTACTGGTTCAATATATGGGAGTATATGTTGAAATGAAGAGATTATGTATTTTTCTGGATCTCAGTTTATCACCTCTCAGCATATAACACAGATTAGAGCTTGGAAATGTCTTTATTCTGAATATAACAAGTTAACGCGTACACACATAAACACACCATGTTTATTATATGTTAATCCGTCTTGGTGTTTCCCTTGTTCTTTCCAACCCCCCACCTACCCATCAGCACTGACAGTCTCTGTCTCCCTAATTCATTGTGTCCAACCCACTTCATTTACAATTCAAGTTTTATGTACACTATGTGATGATCATGACGATTAAGTTTTGTTGTGTTTCTCTCTCGTTCAGACTTTATTCGGACGGATTCACTGACGGATTTTCTAACTAACAAAGCTTTTTATGTGATTGGTGACAAAAATTGGGTAGATGGGGATGTCGTTATATAATTAAACAACTTGTTTTATTGGAATACGATTGGTTAATTTCAACGGATACATATATCCCCACCAGAAAAACGTTTTATATTGAAATGAAGAGAAAAGTTCTGATTTAAAAACACGGAAAATGAGTCACTGAAATTATGGGAAATGGATTCAGATCAAGTGTGTACCGAAGTTGAATGATTATGTTCCAGGTCATTTAGGGATACTTGAAATGAAGTCAGTGAATTGTCAACGGGAACGATGTTTGTGATATCATAAAAGTCCTTTCGTAACTTATCTAGGCCGACATGAAGTCAGTTTCAACGGATTATAATTGAGAGGGGGAAATGTTACACTTTAAGGAAGATTTTAATTGTTTGTTACTTGATGATATTCCAGCCCTGAACGCCAGTTCGATTCATCCACTGGAACATGAATATTGCTTTAAACTTGTACACTAGGGAAACTGGAAGTATGAGAAGTAAACAGCTCACTTCTTACGATCCCTTACCTGGTAGTCATCAATCTGTTCAGCACAAACTAAGCTGTTAGTCGAGGAGATTATGCTAGGAATACAGCTGCATCTGACTTCCACGATCTTTAAGTTTGACAGTAAAATATACAAACACTGAGAAGGTCGACTGGGAACATCACGCGCCAAGTCCTCGAGTGGAATCCAAAAGGGAAACGACGATTTGGGCGTCCGATGCGAAGGTGACATGGAGGAGATGATGTGAGGAAGAAATAAAAGCTTGTGGGCAGTCGTGGCGCCAGGTCTAATAGACTGCAGAGTAGAGAGTGCAGTGGAGGCTTGCTACTGAAGCCCTATGTTCGACTAGGAACCTAAGGGAAAAAACACAGAAGGGGTTGCTGTGGGATCATCGCTTATCGTGGTTGATATATTCATGGATAGTTAGGAATGGATGGCTGTGGAAACATTTTGCCGAGCTGCAAAGATATGATTTCTATATGTACAAGACACGCTTACGGTGTTGAAATCGGAGTACCTAGATAGTTTCTTTCCATGTATAAATTCACTAATCAGTTCAGTAGAATTCGCATATGAATTAGAAAATAGTGAAGGGGAATTAGCGATGTTGGATTTCAGAATAAAACGGAAACAAAGAGGAAGTTTAAACGGACTAGTATCTGTTAAAAACTTTCACATTCAAATCATTACTTAGACCATTTCAGATCGTCTCACCCTATGTCAGTTAAAGTTAGCCTGGTAAAGTGTCTACATAACAGGACCAAAAGACTTGCCGGTAAAACAGAAGACAAGAAACCAGATCCACTAAGAACACGTTAAATATCAACAACTACCTTGTTAGATAAGTGACAAGTTCCTTAGGAATTGTAAGGAAAACAGGCGCTAATAGTAGTTCTATGGCTGTTGGTGGTAGTTCTGGACGAGTTGCAGGTGGTCGCAGTGGCCGATTCAAGAGCTTTTTTGAAGTGATCGGCCCATCGTTTCCTTTGTCTCTTCTCTTCCTTGGTAACTAGCTTTCCTTCGCTATCTTCCATTGATTTCATTTGCGATGATTTTTTCCCTACCAGATAGTAACTTGGTTATTTGATACAGTGTTGTCAGGTTTCTGTCTCTCCTATCAGAAGCCTGTTCTGCCTCACTTGCCAAGGTGTCGTTGCCAAAGTGTCTTTTGTCTTTCCGCACACTCTTCTTCACTTCTTTGTCCAGTGTAGTGTTTTATACGTAGTACTCAGTTCCTCTTTTGGTTGTTAATCCTCGCACTGCATTGGCTCATCTTCTGCTTCACCGTTTTCCTCTCCCTCCTCTATCAGCTTCCATGTGTCCGTTGAGATCTATTCCTTGTCCTGTCTTGCCTTGTTTCTTCTTCCTTTCTAATACGGTTATTCAGGTTTCTTTCCACATAGCTTTCAAAGAATTCTAGTTTTCTTCCACGCTGGTTTCCTCAGGGATGTTTCTCAATGTCTCCCTTTTTGTCCTCTTCCTTGTCTGGTTTGAAGATGTCCTTTATAGTTGCGTCCTTCAGTTCAGTTTCTTTTCTGGGTGTTGAACTTGAACTGTGGTCTATCACCAACTTCTTTGAAGGCTTTCAACTTGATTTTGAAGGTAGGTTCCTTGCACTAGATAGTGAGTGGTGTGAACCTACATCTGCTTCCCTTATCGATTTGACATTGTGTTCAGTTGTCTGCATCTCCACTCTCTTGAAATTGAGGTGAAGTCGATCTGAAGTCGATTTTAGTGTGTCCATTTGGTGAAATCAAATCCATGTCGCTTTGTGAATATCCTTGTGTTTGTACACACTGCCTCACTTCCAATCACCAAATGCTTGAATGCGCAGAAGTCTGCAAATGGTTCTCCATTCTCGTTCATTTCACCAAGTGCTTCTCGACCCATGATTGGTTCCCCTCCTGTGTTGTCTGCTCCCAGTTTGGCATTGATGCAGCTCACTCATTAGAATTTTGATGTCGCCAACTGAGGTGGGATCTTGTCTATTACTGATTGCAGTTGTCTGTAGAATTCCTCCTTCTTCTCTTCATCTGCATTATTTGTGGGTGCACAGCATCGCATTGTATTATTGTAACTTTCCGTCCTTTTGATTTGAATCTTGCTATCATAACCCTGACCCTGGAGGAGATTGGTTCCCACTGCATGAGAGACATCCTTCGATGCTCTTGGGAGAGGGGTATCATGATAGCCACTGGAAAACTCAGTGTGCTCGTGGTTTTCGTCTGAGTGACAATATCGGAATAGATTATTGACTCCTCTGCAGTTGACAGTTTGGAGAGCCCACTTCCATTTTATCTGCTGATTCCTAGCAGATTCCAAACACTTCCATGCCATACCTCCTCATCTCTTTTGTAATCTGGACAGCCTTGCTAGCTAGGTTCAAACATGGTGCAGACATTCCATATTCCCATGCTTATTTTCGCTTTCATCGAGAGGGAGAAGACACATCGGCCAATTGGCTTCTCGAAAGATTTCACCAACTGGCGTCATTTCGTCTCTCTGATTCCAGTGAGGAATAATTTTGTTTTTATTTTTTTATATTTTGTTTGTGTTTTGAAGTTTCTTCAGGGATTAGATTGGTTTTCCGGGGTAGGGTTGCTAGCCGTATGCCGAAACTCCCCTTTTGATCCGGGGTTAGGACCAGCTAGTAACCAGTGAACCATTAAGCGAGGCGACGTTATTGAGTGTACTATACATCGGGGAACTGACATCGGCTAAAAAGTATAGACCGCCGGCTGTATGTAGGACATTAACAGTGCCTGATATTTAGTTAGTCTCTTATGCAGATGGAATAGCTTTCAAGCGTTTCTGACTTTGATGTGTGATACTTTTTCGCCTTAAAACTGATGTTAGCTAACTACTCAAGGGAATGATGACTAATCTAACTATCTTCATCAGTAGGAAAATGCATAATTTCTATTCCAAGCAAAGCTATTGCCAACAACGTAATACGCTAGGACTAATACTGTTTGACTAGAAGCCTTTAACAAACGAAATAGTGATTTATCAGCTGTTAGTTGGTGGCTGGCATAGAAATCAAAGACGTGTGTTTCATCTCATCTGGGACTCATCAACCGGGAGTACCTGTAACCGAGTAAGTGATGGTTTTATTTCTGAAAGTGGAAAACGCCACTCATGGATTGAAAGGCCAGTAACCTGATGGATAAGGCGGTGTGGAGAACATCATCACTCATTGAGAGGTAGGTACATATTGCTAATGAGCTCGAAATAGGACAAAATACGCTTCCTAAATTCCTCTGTTAGCCAACATCAAGCAAACTAAAGTTCAGCGGGTATCACCTTAAATCTCAGAGCATTACCCATGGTTTGTTGGCATTCACTTCAACGAAATCAACACAGATGTTTTTTCCTTAGTGCCAGCTTGCAATATAATGTAGGATACGCATTTCCCCTGTTTGGTATTCTTTAAATGAATGTACCTTCATTCCGATGGATGATAGTGTGTGACAATCAACACGAAATGATAAGAATCAATCAGGTTGCTTTGTTTCATTCTCTTGAGGGTGTCGAGGATCAGGAGGGAGTATATTTCTCCCTAATGGAAGCCATTCTTCAGTTCTCCTCAGATTTTCTCTACTATTTTCATTATGCAACCTATAGTGCAATGGAGATTGTGTATTTACCTGGATTACTTATTTCACAGCAACTAGTGTGAAGTTGTTTACTTCCCTTTTAACCAGAAGAGTTGATTGATGTAAACAGTTTTGTGTGTGTGAACTGTAGCTAGTTGATGAACAGAATGTGTAAAACCTGAGGTGAATACTTCTTTGCATGCTCTGTAATAGAAGATATATGTTAGATTGTTGGAGGTGATTGACAGGAATACCTACTACACATAGATTTCTTGATTCTCGGTATTCTTCATCGGACTGGAGGAGATTGATGTCTCCTTGCTATGAGATTCGAAAAGGCATCACATACTATTACAGTTAGAGATGTTATCTCGGTGTTATTTGATCTGTGACTAAC